AATCTGATCGAATTAAGAAGTGTGGTGCTCCGAGGAAATGATATAATTTAAATATAGTATATGTAAATATAATAAATTTAAAATATATTCACAAATTATCTAGTTCAGAATCCTAACATTTAAGTTACCCCTACATATATTATTGGTCCACCCGTGTGAGACTTACAGATAAGTAAGATCTTTATCAGGACACAGGAAAAATAAGACGATTCATGTTGTTCAACTATGTGTTAGCTTTAACAGACTTTTATTGTGAAAACCTCACGGAAACTATCATCTCACCGCTGTGCTTTCCACAACTTGCTGTTCCTTCCAAAACACGCTCGTGTAGGAACCAGTCCACAACTTTATAGCGATTTAAAAAGGTAAATCATGCTTGTTGTTATTGTCTGTAGATAATCTGAGGTTGTGAGTCCGTTTGGTGTGTTACGACAGCCTAAGGACTTGTTTGTTTGTGAGCTAACTGGGGAACTGAAGCCACGGAGGCGCAGTGAGCAGACGAATGTGTATTCAGTGGTTCTATTCAGAGTCAGAACCGAACCAGTCAGTCGTGTGCACGTGCGCGCGCACGCAAATCCGACTGAACTGTATGTAAATAGCCACTCCCTGTCTCTTTGTCTTTACAGCCTTTTGTGATCCAGACTGACCGCGTTCGCGGTGTTCTGTTGAATTTCGCATCTTCTCAAACTTCCTCACTCACACATGCGCATTGTCACACCATTGTTTGAACTGCTGAAAGTAACTGTGTGTCAAGTGTGAAACCCACTTAGCAGCTCCACAGCTTGACTTCAAACCAGTTTAATCAAAGTTCCCTTCTGTAAATAACTTTTAAAATACTCAATATTTTAATGTTACCTTGTAAATAATTACTTACTCTCTAGAATTGTTCAACTTTAGTTAGTTTAAAGTTATCCAAGTTAATTTTCCAAAGTTAATCTTGGTTAGTTTTAAAACTAGTGTGTTTTGTCCCATTCTTTTGCAAAGGAATGTGTTTCACATTGTTGACAGCTTCTGTCTTTCTAAACAGTTATCTACTCCAAATTAGAATTACATAGATGAAACAATCTATTGAGTTCTAATTTTAACTGAGAGTTATACTGAAAAGAACTAACTGTGAATTTTAAAATGTTGAACAATGCTTTAAACAGCAAGAAGCAGAAACAGTATGCACTTGTCTACCTTCAGAGTTTGAAAAAATTATCAGAGGATATCAATCAAATGTTGGACAGTTGATTGATTAAAGTGATATGCAAATTTTCAAACCTACAAGCTAGCTAATGTATCCATGACTAGAGAGAGACACAGTGGATGCACTGAGACTCTCAAAGTGTGAATGAATGTGTGTGTTGCTAGTTTTACTAAGAAAGGCCAAAGTTTTAAAGGAGAAATGAAACAGAGAACTGTTTTGATTTTAATGCATGCTAAGAAGATTAAAGTCAACATTTTGAGGTCGTATCGAGCTGAAAAAAATAGTCTGCGATACGATGCTCTTTCTCAGAGGCAAATTAAAGCAGCAATGTGCTGACACAATGCTCTGAAAGTTACCACTGTTAGGATAATTAACGTAGCTAATTAAATATTCTAACGACTGTTCTTATGAAGCAGAATAAGGACAGGGAAGGTAAATTTAGTTGAACTCAGACGTTTATCCGAAAAACGAAAAGGAGTTCATGAAAAGGGAAGCTGAGGAAAACCCTTTGTTGCTGGTATCTAATTATCATAAAGAAATAATAATAAAGCTCACAGAAGTTTTGCTAACCACAAGAAGTGGTCATTTTGTTCTTAGAAGCTACGTGCTCACTCCAGGTAGGAAAAGCCTGAACAAGCTTATCCGAGGATCCGCCTTGCTAACAGTTCCCTTCAAAAAAGAAAGGGAGGAAGTAATTGTTTTTCCAGCACTGATAATAGATCATTGCTGGAATTTACAACCAGACCAGACGTCTGGAACAGATCGNAAGCACTTTTTGTATTTTTGCCAAGTTGTCCTGTTGCTCCTATGAGGAAGTCATCATTAGAGTTCTGCTGAAGAAAGTTTGGAAATACTCACCTGCTACCACGCCCT